TAATTATTACGGTACATTAAAAAACACTTAATAGTGGATTTCTGGATAACTAAAAGTGCACACGCTTAATTTCCTCAACTATTATTTACCAATCCTGATGACATAATAGGAAAAATCCCAAAATACATATGAGCATTGCTTGAGTTTTCTTTGCCTCTACATGTATAATCTTATATTATATTGGTGCAAATAAGGCCTACACCTAATGCATTTTCATATTGTTAATGGTGCATCTTCCTCAAAGAATAGTGCGTACACAAATGAGTGCAACTAAATGCATCACATAGTGCACATAATGTTCAAAATGCATCGGCAATACTGATTAGTACACACGCCAATGACTACACATGGGCATTACTTGAGTTTTTTTTGCCTTTGTATGTATAATTTTATATTGGTGCAAATAAATCTTACACCTAGTGCATTTCCATATTATTGAATTAACTCTTACTATTTTGCAATTTTTCATACTAAGATATTACCGTTGCATCAAAATAAATCATTCTTTGAATTTCATAGTTCGTGTAGAGGTATTACAAAATCAACTCCCAACCAATTATCCTATGGAGTGTCCTTTTGTTTGGACTTTGGAGCACTTGATTGGATAAAATTAAAAGTTCCTTTCTCTTGAGATACGGATATTATAAATACATTTTAGCTTGAGAATATAAACATATGATCGCATAGCGCAGTAGATTAGCGCGTCTGACTTCGGATCAGAAAGTTGTGGGTTTGACTCCCACTGTGGTCACCTCGTTAATGATCTAATGATCGAACCTTGACATTTGGTTAAGAGTATAGTCAAGTACATACCATACTTGTACTTTAAAAAGTGAGAACGTCAATGATCTAATAATTGAACCTTTGACGTTTGGTTAAGAGTATAATTAATCCTACTCATATATTAAATTAGGTCCAAAATAAATAATTATAACCATGTTCTTAATATAATTGAACCTTTGACGTTTGGTTAAGAGTATAGTCAAAGTACATACCATACTTGTACTTTAAAAAGTGAGAACGTCAATGATCTAATAATTGAACCTTTGACGTTTGGTTAAGAGTATAATTAATCCTACTCATATATTAAATTAGGTCCAAAATAAATAATTATAACCATGTTCTTAATATAATTGAACCTTTGACGTTTGGTTAAGAGTATAGTCAAAGTACATACCATACTTGTACTTTAAAAAGTGAGAACGTCAATGATCTAATAATTGAACCTTTGACGTTTGGTTAAGAGTATAATTAATCCTACTCATATATTAAATTAGGTCCAAAATAAATAATTATAACCATGTTCTTAATATAATTGAACCTTTGACGTTTGGTTAAGAGTATAATTAATCCTACTCATATATCCCACTGTGACGTTTGGTTAAGAGTATAGTCAAAGTACACACCATACTTGTACTTTAAAAAGTGAGAACGTCAATGATCTAATAATTGAACCTTTGACGTTTGGTTAAGAGTATAATTAATCCTACTCATATATTAAATTAGGTCCAAAATAAATAATTATAACCATGTTCTTAATATAATTGAACCTTTGACGTTTGATTAAGAGTATAATTAATCCTACTCATATATTAAATTAGTATGTCCAAAATAAATAATTATAACCATGTTCTTAATGAGATTTGCATAATTGTCGTTAGTTTCACCACTTAAAATGCATCAGAATAAAATGCCACGAAATACACCACACATAATAGTATATTTTTGAACACTGTGTGGTGCATTTATGCATACCTAATGGTGTAAAACGCACCGACCGCACGGGAAGCGTTGTTCTCACAGGAACCTGACACTATATACATATATATATATATATATATATATATATATATATATATATATATATATATTGGTGTAGCCTATAAGGGTTTCTAACTGTTAGATACAATAACTAATCCCCTCGTTTAATGACAGTTGGCCTAGAAATTTAAGGTTGCTCCATACTAAAGATCAACGATCGAATCATCGAATCTTGACGTTTGGTTAAGGGTGAAGAAAGAAGTAAATTGTAAAAATGGCGCACGTTAAATGTTACCACCATTTATTTATTTATGGAAAAATATCACTTTTTGCCCCTGAGTTATATACTTATAGCACTTTTCCCTCCTAAATATCACTTGGAGGAGGCTGGAGGTTAAGGGAAAGCTTGATGGACTGGGTGACGATGAAGGAGAAGAGGAAGAAGCTGAAGGAGAGGATCTTAAAGACGACGAGCATCTTGGCGGTGTTGGCTCGCAGCTGGCACTCATCCGGGACGTTGAGGGTCTTGAGCTGCCCCAGCGAGGCCATTGCAAGCCCCAAGAAAATGGCGATGGTGGAGAGATAGGTCATGCGTCGCTTTCTTCCCTTTTTGTTAAAAAGATGATCAAAAGAATGGGTTGAATTTTTTCAAAAAAAAAAAAGGTTGAATTGACAAAAATACCCCTCATTTAGACGGTCAACTAATCAAATAATAGACGGAGGACTAAAATTGTCCTCGTCACAATAAGGGTATCTATGAATTGTCCAAATCTTTTATGAAGGACTAAAATTGTCCGTGCCACTATAAGTCTAGGACCAAAAAAGGCATTCAATCTTATTTCAGTGGTTGTTTCCCCCCCTGAAATGTTAAATCGACATATTTACCCTTAAAATAAATATTTCATTTATTTTTCTTCTCCAACAAATTATGACTACAATTTGGTTCAAACCAAACAGATACTATAGCAACCAAACCGAAATATTCCAATTCCAATTTAAAATCGAAACCCGATATTTAAAGTTTATTAAAATCGTGAACTGGAACGGCCGGTTCATGTTCCGAATTGAAAAAAATAAAATACATTTATTGTTGAATTTAGACTATTTTAAAATAAAAAATAAAATTTTAAAATAAAGATGGTTCAAAATCACGAACTGGATTCGGAACTGCTGGTTCACGGTTTAGGATCCAGTTTTTTCGATTCATAATTTTAATAAACTGAAATCCAAATATTGAGTTTTGGATCTAAATCATAATCGGAAACTTTTAATTCGCTTGCTATAGTGTTCGGTTCAGTTCGAATCGAACCGTGACCATCCCTACGTATATGCAATAATTTGTTGGAGAAGAAAAATAAATAAAATGTTTACTTTAATGATATAAATGTCAATTTAATATATCAGGTGGGAAATGAGCCACTTTTAGAATAATTGAGGGGGCTAGTGTGCTTACATAAATAATTCAGGAGAAAAAAGTGCTATAAGTATATAATTTAGGGAGAAAAAGTGCAATTTTCCCCCCTTATTATTATTATTATTATTATTATTATTATTATATAACAAATTGTATGTTTCTTAATTTTCATCTCAAAAGAAATAGTTTTTTAACTTTCAGCCAAATATTAAAAAATTAAATTATTTTTTAAAAAATGAGTCATTTTCTAAAAAATCTATTTTTCAAATTTTCAAATAGATCCTATATTGTTATCTATAATCTTATATTGGTGCAAATAAGGCCTACACCTAATGCATTTCCATATTGTTAATGGTACATCTTCCTTAAAGAATAGTGCATACACATGAGTGCAACGCAATGCATCACATAGTGTACTTGCATAATGTTCAAAATGAATCGGTGATACTGAATAGTACACACGCCAATGACTACCACACATAGCATTACTTGAGTTTTTTTTTTTTTTGCCTTTGTATGTATAATCTTATATTGGTGCAAATAAGTCATATACCTAGTGCAATTCCATAGTGCAGAATTAACTCTTATTATTTTATAATTATTTAAAAAATAAAATATTACCTTTACATCAAAATAAATCATTAGTTGAATTTCATAGTTCAACTTGAGGTCTTACAAAATAAACTCCCAACTAAATTATCCTATGGAGTGTCCTTTTGTTTGGACTTTGGAGCAGTTGATTGACTAAAATATCCCTTTCTGTTGGGATAAGGTTACGTATAAATAAAATTTAGCTTGATAATTTAAACAAATGACCGCATAGCGCAGTGGATTAGCGCGTCTGACTTCGGATCAGAAGGTCGTGGGTTCGACTCCCACTGTGGTCGTTTTTTGCTGATTATTTTCATTCGTTTGACGACTGAATTTGTTTATGCGCACCTCTTGTTGGGCCTCTAAAACCCACTTTAACGCTGTTTTCCCAATTATTATTACATTGAAAATGTTCCACTCATACCATAAATAAAAAATACATTTTCAATATATTAAAAATTTATTATTTATGTATGTAAAGTAAATTTTTTAAAATTATATTATTTGAGTACTGAAAATACATTATTTTATATATACTATCAAATAATATATCTTCAATACACAAATAATGTATCTTCAATACACAAATAATATAGTTTTAGTATATTAAAAATGTACATGATATTTATGGTTCATACAACTATGTAGACCATGATCCACACAATAATTTGCCATTATTCGCATTATAAGATAAATCATTGATATAGAATTCATTTTTAATGTACTAAAATTTCATTTTTAAAAGGTTCATTATTATTTGATACTCTGTATTATTTAGTAGTTTACCAAATAATGAATCTTCAATATACAAACAAAAATAATCTTCATTATATTAAAAAATAAATATTTATGAATGATCTACATTATATTGCAGTGTGAACCACATATTTATTGTATAATTTGCCCTGTTTGGCTGTTTATATTGTGTAACTAAGCAAGATGGGTTAGCAAATCAAACCTCTTTTTAATAGCTTTATTTCCCCCTAAATATTAAACCCCTCAACCTATAAATCTCCTTTACTAGCTTTGATTCATAAATAGGTTCTAGGAGATTTGGCAATAAAACTCATCATACTAATCCAACGGAGTAGCTCAAGTGGCAAATGAAACGAATGAGAATAAGTCGGGTAGACCTGGACCCGTTAAACAGACAGAGAAAGATCGGACCACCACGTGGTTTACACCATAAAATTCATCATACTCATGCATTATACAAGAAAGTGGAGATATGTGGTGGCACTCAGAGCTACTTCTTTAATTTATTTCATCCTCAAAACTAAGGAAGAAGGTAACAACTCCAAACTTAGATCATAATTAGTACATCATATCCCCATCAAAACTTGTACAATAACTTCTGGAAGAGTGGCATATGATCAGCATCCAAGCACACAGCCAGTGATAAGCTCCGGTCTTTGTTTGGGCTAGGCAATATGTACACCGTGCCCTCATACAAAATGAGGGCCGGCCCCATGTGGACAGGTGTCCCCCACCCGAAATCCGAGTTGTGGACCGGCAACCTAGTCCAACTGTTGATGTTAAGGTTGGGACTAGCAAAGTAGTTTGAGCCCCGGACCAGTTTTGACAAGTCCGGTTGGCACTCTAGGTAGTCAAGGGCGGATCTTAAGTACTCGTCGTCCATTCTCACCAGAGCGCTACGGATTCTCTTGGCAGAGCTGGCTAGCGGCTCGGTTAGGAGCTCGCCCGATTCAGCCACCGGGGTGGCAGTAAAAATCACATTGCCTAGGAACCCCGGGGGCAGGGCAGGGCACAGCCTGGACCGACCATCCGTGGCAATATATAGTTTGGTAGTTTGATCATCAGAAAGCCCCCGGGCTTCGCACACACAACGCCATATGTGTGCCGCAAGGATCTCGTAGGTGCTACCCTCGTGGCTCGAGTTCGTTTTGAGAAGGGCGAGCTGTTGAGGGGTGATTTTAAGCATGGCTGTGCTTGGATTAGCTCCCGGCAGCTTGGAGAGTGGCCCGGATTTTAGAGTGGGAGGGTGATCATACTCGGTGTGTTTAAATGCCGGGCAAGGAGGGTCTCTAGCCCGGAGAATGGTCCGATCAATGAAAGGCGGGATAGCAACCGAGAGGCCTCGAGCTAGGTCTGCCCAGGTTTTGATGAAGTGAAGGGCCGAGAGGCCATCTGAGAGCGTGTGGAAGATCCCGGTTCCAAGAGACACTCCACCACACTTGAAACGTGTGACCTAATCAGGAAAAAGATGCACCAAACATCAGTAACAAGTGGGGAGAAAACTAGAAGAAAGATGCATTATACATACATCCATATAATAATACATACTCACAATAGAAAGTAGGCAGGCTACTGAAAAGTTCAAATGACAGAACACACCCGGGTGTTCGGTAAATGACTGATCAGTTAAAATAACACAATATACTCATACCCTTAAAGATTATTTTACATGTAATTAGCTATCAGCTAAAAACTAACTACAACCAATTAATATTATTAAATGGTCAAACCAGGTAACAGTTATCAGCTATGTTAATCAGCTATCAACTAACGACTATTTGAACACTAGAGAATTGGACCACAAGAGTGTAAATAGCAAAGATGCAAACCTACATAACCAACCTATTGGGCTAGTGGCCAAACAGTTGACAAAAGTGTCATTGTGAAATGTGGAAGCATTAAAATGCACACCACTTGCATATTAAAATATTTACTATTTATGCTTTGAATTCACAGCACTTAGCTTGCAAATCTGGAAAGCAGGCAGCCTATTCTATTTTCTTTGGGACCTCAATCCTTTTGCGGTGAATTCTCAACTATCCAACGACAAACATTAAATACAGAGAAGCTCAGGGTTGTGGGGCTTGGTGCAATTATGAAGTGAAGTGACAATTTAGTTAATGTGACAAAGAAAGTGAAGGCAAGGAAAAAAAAGTTCAATTTTTATTCTTATTTTTTGTTTTAGGAATTGGACCAAGTCAAGGGATGCTATTAAATTTTCAGCCCAGAAGAAATTAGTGAAGGTAAAATCAAAATCCTAACAATTTCATAACCTTTCTTATCCTTTTAACCTTATCTCAAGTAATAGTAATCCAAATTATATGGAATTTCTTTGAATAAAATGTTTACTCCATTCCCCACTTGAACACAAAACTAATTACAATACAGACCTGCAAAGTAGTGACCTCTCAATTCAAGCTTTGAAGCTCCAAGTCACAACTACAACAACATCTAAACTACCTGCAAACATTCTTGCTTAAAATGTACAGTGTATCTGCCTATGGTCCAACCAAGATTTCAAGACAGACTTACAAAGAAATCTCTAAACACACTGTCTAACTCTGTAACTTATTCATAGTTTCTCTTAACACCTTGAACCAGCCTGACTAAAAAGATCAGACAGGAGGGGAAATAACAGTATATTGGATTGGATTAAAGGGAGTGCTTGGTAAATAGCTCTTAGCTGGTTGGATTAGTGACTTTAACAGTTGATAGCATTAGTTGATTGTAGAAATGTGTTTGGTAAATTAATTGTTACCTAATAGCTAATTACATGCAATATGACTTTCTCAACAAACTTATCGAAAAAGCTGTCTTGAGTAGCTTTTTAAATTTTAGTGTTTTGAAGCATAAACTGTTATAAGAAGCTAATTAATCAAACACTTATATTGTCTGTTTGACCAAGTTAAATAGTTAATAGTGATCAAATAAGCCAAAATTAGATGATAAGCTAACTATACCAAATAGGGCCAAAAGCTAAAAGTGGGAAGAAGAGCATCTCTTCCAACCAAAAAGGGTAATTCCAGCCAGAATGGCTAAGAATACAAACTTATAACCAAAAGGTCAGGAGTTCGAATCATAGCCTTCTTGGTTTGAACCATTCAGCTATGGGCAGTTTAGACTAGTTTACTTCTTGTGGTCCTTTGCCAACTAGGATTACTAAGACATGATTTATCCCGTGTACACCCTACCGTTCAGCTATGGGCAGTTTAGACTAGTTTACTTCTTGTAGTCCTTTGCCGACTAGGATTACTAAACATGATTTATTCTGTGTACACCCTCAAAAAAGTGTCTGCAGGTTTCCTTTACCACCCCATGGTCAAGCGACATAAGTGTGGCTCTCCCAAGAGTGCTTCAATAAGTTAAGAAAATATATATAGACAGATACTTAGATTATAACAGATCAGAGTTAGTACTAACAAAAAATCCTATTGAACACCCCCAAAGCATACAGGAAAAAAAACATTAGTGGAATCAAGGTGGATAGATACCTGGAAAAGGGCAAGCGGGAAGGAAGAAATGTCCCCAGAAGTATCAACAGAGGGGAGGAGCTTCCTGAGCTCCAAACTAGGAGTAAAGTCCCCAAAATCATCAATTGTTGCGTCACTCTCGGCCTCCACAAACAAAGCCCCTTCTCCATTACACTCAATCTCAAGCCTCCCATCTCCATCCCTACCCATCCTACCCGCCATTGGATAGAACGAAACCAGAACTCTGCTCAGGGCTTCCTTCATCGCCTTGGGATCAAAGAAGTTTGGAGACCCATTGGGCCTGTAAAAGTAAACCACCAACAAATGGATCCTCCCCACTACCAAATCCACATTTGAGCACCACAACTTCTTGCTTGGTGTAGGCTTGGCTGGTTTCACCATTGTGGTTTCCTTTATGCATATCCTCAGCTTCTCACTTGCCATATTTGTGTTAAAACAGTAATCTTTTTTGTGGAAATTAAGCCAAAGAAAATATGGGAATTCTTGCAAGCTCTACAAAAACTAGGTGGGAATGAAAGAAATCAAAGAAGGGAAGAGAGGAGGTTTCCGCGACCTCTCAATTTGATTTCATTACAAGGGGATAAAGCTGTGAATGAATACATGTGGGAGGTAGATGAACAACGTACATATTTATAGAATAATATTTCCAGAAGATCTAATAAACGACATTAGTTATTTAAATCATACTAATAAATATTAAAAGATTCATATCATATTTCATAAGGCTGAATTTTTGCATTCTACAATAATAATTGTGGTTCATTTGTGACTAAAAAAAGGTAAACTTTGTTCTATACGTACTTATTGTTATTTTTTATTTTCTATTTTAATAATAACTGAAGATAAGATCACATCACCCACAGTTTTCTTGTTGTCCCTTTTATTAGAATAGGAGGAAAATTTCTATGGTTCGAAAAAGTACAATATCAATTATTATAAATAAAAAAAAAAAAAGAAGAATAGTAATAAGTTTATCTAACATACTAGTTTTACACGCGCATTGCACGAATGGGTTAATCGCCAATGTTTATAACCATTATTGTTAAATAACTTATTATGGATAAAAGAAATTTCTAATTTAAGGAATTTAAATGTAGTAAAAATTTAAAAATTTTAATTATAATATAACCCAAAGATATTGGGCGATTGATAAATATGATGTAACCCAAAGATCAAGGTTATTCAACAGTTTGAAGCAACAATTTGTTCCAAACCACTGAAAATACAAACATTGCAATTTACAATATTTTCACTTAGCGTTTTTTAGAATGATTTGCTCAAAACACCTCTATATTAAAAAAAAAAAAAAATTACTGTAAAACCATTTCGATTCCTTGAATAACAAGAGCCAATTTTGCTGGCTCACTGCTTGCCCATCAACGGATGGGCAAGCTTAATTTTAAATTGGAGCCTTAAGGCTCCTTTTATAGGAGTCTCAAGGCTCCCATGCTACTTTTCCCACATACTAAGGGGAGCCGAACGTTCGGCTCTCCATATATTTTATTTTTTAAAGAGTAAATACCCAAAATGGTCCATCGACTATAGCTAAATTTACAAATTGGTCATCGACTTTCAATTTCAACCAATTAAGTCCTTAACTTTGCAATTTTGACACGATTTGGTCCTCCATCTATTTGACCGTTTGTTGACTGCGATCTTTGAGGATATATATGTATTTTCACGTGCAAAGCTCAAGAGAACGCTCTTGGAGGTGACATCGTTGTTTCGGAGGGGGAAGTGCTTCTCCGCTTGCTGCTTGGGGATCACGAGCCGGTTCAACTTAGAGAACGCTCTTGGAGGTGACAACGCCGTTTCGGAGGGGGGAAGTGCTTCTCCGCTTGTTGCTTGGGGATCCTGAGTCGGTTCAACTTGCCTATAGAGTCACGGCTTTCTCGAAGAGCCACCCCAGGGACTTCGGCGATCTATCTATCAAAAGCTATAATCTCTCCGGCATGGGGTGCAGCGCCAGCAGTGGATTCAAATGTAACCGGAACCTTAAAAAACCAACGATGGACCATGAAATTACATATATATCTTAAAAAAGCGCAGCCAACAAACGGTCAAATAGACAAAGGACCAAATTGTGTTAAAATTGCAAAGTTAAGGACTTAATTGGTTGAAATTAAAAGTCCAGGACCAATTTGTGAATTTAGCTATAGTCAAGAGACCATTTTAGGTATTTACTCTTTTTTAAATTTTATTTATTTTATTAAATTATTATTATTATTATTATTATTATTATTATTATTATTATTATTATTATTATTATTATTATTATTATTATTATTATTATTATTATATATCCTTAGGTCATTTTACATATTAATCTAAACAGTTAAATTTTTCAAATATCTTTTTTTACCAACCGTTGATATGATTCGCTGGTCAAATCCGCTAATATAGTCCGCTAACGCTAACCGCTAACTGCTAATTGTCAAACAATGACATTGCGGGGTAGTTTCCCACTTCAATTTGTTGTGTGATTTGAATACTCTCTTTGTCCATCAAGTAGTTAATATGATTGGATTAATTATATTTTTTAAAATTTTTTCATGATATTAATAAAATACTTGGTAAATAAATATATAGCATTGTTTTGTATTATAACTTTGATATTTAATTAAAAAAATAGTGCACAAAAAAAGATATTAGACAAATGAATAGATGAATTTGAATGTAAAGAATATTTTTTACATTGGAGAAAAATAAAGACAATATAACTAATGAAATTATTTCTCTTAATTAATTTATTGATAATGATTATTTTTGTTTTTTAAATAAAGACATTGTAGGGACAATGTAGCGAATATAATCAATTCATGAATTTGAATGTAAAGAATTTTTATATTGGAAAAAAATAAAGACAATATAACTAATGAAATTATTTCTCTTATTTAATTTATTGATAATAAATAATTTTTTTTTTTGAATAAAGGCATTGTAGACACATAATTCTAAATTAAAGAAGTGCATATGCATTATTTTTTGTTGTAGCTACTAAATTATTATTTAATTTAATAAGAATAAAACAGAGTACTAATTATGCCAGCTTTGATTGGGATGAGGTTCGAACCTAAGATCTTTCTTATTGAAATCAATGAGTAAGTTAACGGTGAACTAACAAAAATTAACTGAGAAGATAATATTTAACGGATAATAATATAATTAAGGATAAATTAGGAAATCTCAAGAAAAAATTTAAATCTAATCAATCTAAGCTATTCATTTGATTAAAAAATTTGACCGTCATTTTTTCTACCAATTATAGGTCTAATCTTTTTGGCTCTTATTAGTATAGTAGATATCTTGTGGTATGATGTCATTATTGTTGCTTTCTATAAAGAATCAGTGTTGATATAATTATTGAACAGATATTATAAGAGTTAATTCCATTTTTGGTCCTACATTTATAGGTGACAATCCACTTTTAGTCATTTTTTATTAGAACATCTCTTTTTGGTCCTAGTATTATTGTGACATAACCAATTTTGGTCCTTTATCAAAAAAATCGTTGAATTTCGTTAAATATAAGTGCATTTCACTCTTCAATTATGATTTTTTTTTTAAATAAACATAAAAAATATAACGGATCAATGCACTTGGTTAGTTACTGGGAATGCTATGTCATTCCAGGCCTATTCCGTGAACCAAACAGCCCAGGCCTATTCCGTGAACCAAACAGCCCATTAAAGTGTCATTGTTAGTTACTCGAGTTAATTCCATTATTGATCCTATATTAATAAGTAACAGTCCACTTTTAAATGTGATATGGCCATTTTGGTACTCTATCAACAAAACAATTTAAATGTTGTAGAAATACAAGGTATTTCTGTCTTCAATTATGGAGTTTTTTTTCAAAAAAAAAAAAAATATATATATATATAGTGGGTCAACTCGTTTTGTATATATAAAAAAAAAGGATAAAAATATCCTTGTATTTAAGGACATTTGAATGATTTTGTTGATAGAGGACAAAAAATGGTCATGCCACAATAATACTATAACAAAAAATGAATGTTTTGATTAAAAAAAAAGATTAAAAATGGATTAACAAATATAAATGTAGGACCAAAAATAGAATTAACTCTAAGTTACTCTCTCACCTTTTCTCACCATTTTTACTCTCTTCCTTAATTTGGGCATAAGGTGGGGCAAAAGTGCTGACCAAATTGATTTTTCTATACAAGAGGGGATTTGAACTCCCAACTTCTCTCAAGAAATGAGAATGCACGGTCACTTACACCAACCAAACTGGTTTACTCTCTTCCTTAATTGCTCTATCTTTTTTTTCATATTTTATAACACATTATTATCACAGGTATTTACATTTTGAAATCATTATTTTTCTAATGATGCCTCTTCTTCTGCTTATATCACTGCCTCAGTTAATGTTTGAATTGACATGGTAGACTAGGACATGTTGGTTTAAATCAGTGTTGCAAAAATCAGGCCTAGGCGTAGGCGGTCCGCCTAGGCGCCCTAGGCGGTCCCCAGGCGCCTAGCGATTTTTTCAACCTTGGTTTAAATTGTTTGAATAAACTGAAAAATATGAATTTGTTGCCAAACCTGTCAAGTGACTCATATTCTCAATGTGAAAACAATATTGCTTATAGATTTATGTGCTTAGAAAGTCGTTCAATATGTGAATCTAGAGATGATGTCTTCTTTGAACACATTTTTCCTATAAAGAATTCTCACAATATGTGGTTCTGATTTCATAACTTTTTTTTTTTTTTTACTGAATTGAAAGACATAAATGAATTGTGTGATCAATTCATATGTTAATTAGTGTTAGAAGAATAATAAAAAACCATTGAAGATGCTATGCACTTAGTCGATTCCACATTATGGAAGGAAGCAATCAAAAGTGAACTGGACTCCATTTAGTCCAATCACACTTGGAAATTGGTAAACCTACCTAAACGGTGTAAACCAATCGGTTGTAAGTGGATCTTCAAAAGGACGTTAAGACCACATGGGTCCGTCAAAGTCAGGCTTCTAGCTAAAGGCTACACACAGAGATTTTGTGAAGATTACTTTTATACATATTCACTAGTAACAAAAATTTCAACTATTTATGTTCTGTTTGCTTTAGCATCCTTGCACAGGTTGATAGTTCACCAAATGGACATAAAAACAACATTCCTCAATGGTGACATAGAAGAAGAAATCTACATGAAACAACCTCCTAGGTGTGTTGCTCCTAGCCAGGAGAGGAATGCATGTAGTCTTAAAAAATCTTTATATGGTTTAAAGCAAGCCCCTAAGTAGTGGTATGAAAAAATTCATAAAACCATAAAAGAACTATGTTACACTGCTAACCGATCAGATGCCTACTTGTATACCAAAGAGATTGAGTCCAAAATTGTGATTATATGCCTCTATGTAGATGACATGCTGATTTTCAATTCAAACATTGAAGCTATTAATGAGACCAAAAGAACTCTATATGCTATGTTTGATATGAAGGATATGGGTTAAGCCGATGTTATATTTGGGGTAAAGGTTTCAAAAACCGATAAAGGTTATCATTTATCACAAAACCACTATACAAAGAAACAATTAAAGAAATTTGATAGTTATGATGTAACACCGGCTAAAACATTTTATAGTC